CAAAACCAGCGTGAGGTCCCGGCCAGGATGTATGTCCAAACCAGAGTGCCAAATATCCATGGTGTGCGCAATGAAGATTGGGGGAGATTCCCAGGTCTTTATCTCTCTGTCTCTCTCGTGGGGGGTATCTGCACCTGCCGATCCTAGTGCGAATTTCCAGCAATGACACCTGGTTGATGCTACTACGACCACTGCCGGTCGGCATATCGATCAGCGAGCGGTTGCGTGCAACGAGAACGTGGAGGATTATCAGGGACCCTTGCAAGCCCTGCTTGGCCCTGATCCCAAGTCACGCCGGCCCAAGAGCTTGGCACTGGATGGCGGCTCGTGGTTGGTTCAACTATGCGGATTGTGGAGACATGTTGTGGTGGAGGATCTGCAGGGTGGCGTCCGAAGAGTCTTTAGCGCGACGCCATACGGAGTGTCACGGAGAATTCCCGACATCAGCCAAGCTCGACCTCCTTGACCTTGCACGAGAAATATATCCTGCGAGACTGGCAAGATGCTGGAATGGGCACCACAAGACCGTATGGAAAATGGGCAGTGCTTGGCTACTAATAAATCATCGCTGCAACGGCACGGATAACTCCAGAACTGAGCCAAACGATACGCCTGTCAAAAAACTACAATCACTGTGAGGGTCTTGTAACATGAGGGGGATGCCTGGCCTCCATCATATTCACTCACCTCGACAAACATCTACCGTGCTAGGTTTTTTGCCCAAGGTGATGCGCCAAGTACTTCATTCGCACACCACGGATGGAACGTTCGTCTTATTTGTCGACGCCTCTTAGGAAAAAGGGAGAAAGAAGAAAGCATTTACTACACTGACTCGAACTGCAGCCTTCTGGCAAAAGAGCCAAAAACTCAACTCGTGAGAAAACCCTCTGAAGGGATTTTTTTTTGGAGTCCACATTCGGTTGGATACAAGGGATTGCTGCTGCGACCGATAGCTTCTTCTTCATACTTCAGAGCTCCTACACACGTTTCTTTGAGGAGGAAGGGGATCCACTGTGATCATGTCAGAAGTCATCATATCTGCAGAATTAGGGGGTTACCAAGTAGAGCTCCTACGGTTCAATGATACCTGGCTATTCACCTCTGGCTGCGACTCAAGGAGACGGATGAAGATTACAGACTTTACTGCTTGTACCATTTCACCAGTCGAATGCTGACAGGATTCCGCGGAAGAAATATCTATGTTCATGATCTCCAAGGGTGGACAGCAGGGTATTGCTTGGAAAGCGAAGATGCTGTGCACGGGGACCGCCCGAGTCAAGAGTGTGGCTGTCTGTATTGAATGCACATGGACTGTTACGTTAAAGAGTGTCGGACTGAACCGAACTAGCTTTATTCAGAAGCCGTCGTTCATTCACAATCCACGAAAGGAATCGTGCTACGAAGCAATTCTATCCCGGTCTCCGGGCTCGCCGCTGACACGAACAGATGCAAGGGAGACTCAGTTCACTGAGGGTACAGGCTCCCCCTGGGTCCTGCTTTGAAATTACGCAACTCAAGCCCGTTTCCAAACTTCAATATAGAATCCGATTAGCTGAAACGCGAAGTCAGATCCCAGATCCATTTAAAGTGCATATAGAACCAGGGTTCAGAGCCAGTTCCTCTATACGGGTCAGAAAGGACATATCTGCAGGCCGAAGGTCGTGTTCCAGCAGATATGCTCGAGAGTCATGTGATTACTCTTGGATTCTTGCCTCGTGTAAGTAGCAAATGACTTGTCTAGGAGTAGAGGGGTGGTCTGAGGAGGACTGTTGATCTTAAGCATATATGTAGAGAAGAAAAGGTTCACTGGAGATATCGGAGGTCTATCTGGCCGAGGCTTGTCCAGCTCTACTCTGCCACCCACAAAGGAAAGCAAACTGGTGGCCTTATGCCACTGAGACCTTGCCGCCGGTTTTCTTCGGAGGGTATTACTTCACTTTTGGGGCCTTAGCATGGCCGATGCCGACACCGAGGACATACAATGCCTGGGCGAAGAACTTCGAATATCTGAAAATGGTACATATGGCTCTTGAGAGAAGGACTGTTTCCTACGTATATCGTTGACTACCCCTGCTTAGCGTTTTCACAATTTTGGGCAACGCTGGGGCATCCTGCTCATTTGGTCTGCATATATGTAGAATCGGATACGGGGGACGCGAAGTTAATAAAGGGAAAATATGGGGTACAGAGTTAATTTTGTGCGATCCTCTGAGACCTACATAGTAGTCACATGAGTAAGCAAGGCTGTGGCTATTTGTGAATGAGGCTGAGCACAGGACGACGCGGGAGCGGCCCCCAAACCTTCCGTTGTTTCTCCGACAGGCGCGTGTCATCAGCAAAACATTCTTGAACATTGCGCAGGGTGGAGTTTATTTTGGCATACGAAAGCTCAGGCTCCAAGGCCCCCAGATTCATATTTACCCATTTGTCCATTTCCATCGCCACAGCTATGCGCAGTCTATTGTGCAGGCATCACCCATAATGCTAAAGCTATCCTTTCCGTGAATTGAACCGCCAATTTCTATTCACGGGAGGTTTGAGAACTAATAACCAAAGCACTCTGCCCTACCTTTCCTTCGACTCTACTCGCAATCATCGGCAATTTTTGTCGCTACGTCAAGGCCATCAATCTCAATCCCCCCTGACACACATGAATACACCCATCGAAGCTCAATCTATATCCTCGCTGAATAACTTGCTTGCGAATCCACCACGCTACCCGAGGAATCCGACTCATGAAGTCCATGAAGCGCTTGTGCTCTACATTGTTCGGGTTCCGGGCAGCAAAGGTGAGAGGAGGACTGGAATCATAGAAGAGAAGGACAAACATTGAGTTCTTGTAGATGTGTTCCTCACGCCACTGAAGCCACCCACCAAGGCCTCGATAAGTATCGAGGCTGTTCAGTCGAGTCTATATTTCCTTCATGTTGACAGACCTGAAGATGAGGCACTGAGGAAATCACTGGAAGCCGCCCAGGCCACAGAGAATCGCAGCCATGACGTCCTGCCGGTACAGAGAAAGCCTCTTCCCCCTGCGCCTTATGCGAATTATCCTGCTTCTCAGAGACCTCCCACTCCGCCCAAGAGCTACCCTCATTATCAGCCGCCTTTACCGGAGTCAAAAACTGCCACCCAAGCAGAGCGTTATGCTGCCCGTGGGATTCATCTCAGGCTAACCACTAGGGACAATCTGAATGCTCTGGCTTCCAGTAAACCCGTTGGCGCCCGATTAATGTCTTCAAAGACGCATGATAGCGACGACGGTCTATCACCAAGCCCAATCGAAAATGCACAAAGGCAGTTCAGATTGGCCAGGAAGCCAGTTCAGCCGGTATTTCTGGCTGATCCCCATGAACTTAAGCACTCTGATACCGATCAGGGATGGCCGATGGGTTCTGGTCCTGACCGTTCTTTTCAGCTTTCTGCTGCTCCGCCTACAGACCCCATGGCTGCTAATGCGCGGTCTGCCGCGTTGCGCATTACGCTGATCCGGAGAGACCCCGCCTCTGGTAGTCAATGGAACGTGGGTAGCATCGTCCAGCAAACCGCAGACGCACCTTTGCGGAAGGTTGATATTGAGCTCACTTCTCCGGGTTATAATAAGTTCGTGCAATTGGAAGCTGGTGGAGGCCCCGGGTTTCGCAGAAAGGTTGCTTATATGCAGACATCTGGCGATGATGGATCATTTTTTATGAGGAGGAGGGGCGATTCCATGGAGTCCTTTTCAAACGCGTCTCATTCATCTAGCGGAAAATCCAAGCAGGTCTACGCTTTTATTTCGCCATGGCAAGGGCCGTGCGTTTTTGGCAATGGCCTGGATGGGAAAAGCCTACGATGTCGGCATTTCCTCCCGGGTGCGAATCCGTCCGTGCCGGGCGTAAGTGCAGATATCGCAGAACTACGGTTCAATCTACCGTGGGCATCGCTTCGTTTGAAGGATCCGAACAAGAAGCAGGTCAATCACATTTCCGAGTTGTCTCGCGACACATCTGCCACACGCCCGGAAATTTCTTCCAATAGAGAGCAATGGAGGCGAAGCTTCCAAATCTTGACGCATAGAACTCGAAAACAGCTCTCGGTCAACGACAGCAACGTCAATGAGTCTCCACTGAACAATTCCACGGAGGACCCGACACAGCTCGACAACTCGGGCGAGCAGATTCGAATGAGCCTTGACCTTGGACGAGAGAAGGCTGGTGGAGGGTTCAAAGGCCATAGCGCTAAGCTGGGCAAGCTTATCATCAGTGACGAAGGTTTAAAGATGTGTGATCTGGTAGTTGCTGCGTGCATGGGCGTCTGGTGGCAGTATTATGCGGGAGATGTGTCGTCTCATTGAGCGTTTCTTGGGTCAGCATCGATTGGACAGATCGAGGTGGAAGTCGCCATCTTGGCTAACAATGAGCATACTTGATGACCTCTTCTTCTGAATGTAGACAGGGTATTCAAATATTTCTTACTTTGGGATGGATGAGGCCTCCATTATGCATGTTACAGCCTCGCCATCCATCAGGAATCCACTGTGCTGGCAATTTCAGTTTTTAGATGCGGGGAGGCTTGAAAAGGAGTCCCGCCTTGGCGGTTTCCCAATGTTGACGTTCTCCACTGGCGGCCGTCCAACTGCGCATGGCGGATGGGCTGCTTAGAAGGTGATCACTCACTATATTCCAGAATCAGCGCCAGTATTTGGAACGTTTTACCTACAGCGTCGGTGCGTGTGCACGTAAGAAGCATCAACAGTGGTTCAGTTTTGGTTGGCAGCCCCCGCCTTCGCCATCGAGTTTTCCTGCCAGCTCTTTCATCCAATACGAGACCGCGATATTGGCACGACTGCTCGAACTCCCGTCCTCCAGTCCTCGTGATTGAAATCGTCAGATGAAAGAGACGCGTATAAGGAAAGGATGACAAACTATAACTGAGAGCAACTTCAGCGGCGGAAGAGGAGGAACTGTGGTGTTTCAGTTATCCCTATCTGCTTGCCTTCTCCGCCTGCTCCTATTGCCATGGCGGAGACGGCTGAGATGAAGCAAAACCCCATGGGTCTTGGAGCAGCAACTGATCGGGGGAGACTACAAGTGAAGAGTGCGCAATTGCAACCGGCATTCCAGGCCGCCCTCAAAGTCAATGGGGAACCGGGACCTGCGATCCTTTCCAACAGCCGATCAAGCAACACTCCCGCCGCTGGTCCAACCCCTTCAGGCTCGACTCCACGAGACGCTTCCCCTGACAGACTGACCCCCTTCTCCACGGCATCGAAGACGTCAAGTGCCCTGAAAAAAGGCTATGGCTCTGGATCAAACCTCGCCCGAAGCGTGACAAACGAACAATCGTCCAGCGCGAGAGAACCCGCTGACTCGGACAATGCCTTGCCAAGCAATGGAACACCCACGGCAGGCAGGAAGAGTGTGCAGTTTTCTCGAGACACCCAAGAGATCAGCCCTCATAGCAATGGCCACACCACGCCGCCGGCTGGCCGAGGAGATAATTCAGAGCAAGACAAACCTCACTCCTTGTATGCCAGGTTAAGGTCACTGGCTATACCTCAAGGATATTCGTTCAGTCACAGTCGGTCTCCGAGCGGCCTGTCTGCGAGTGGGCGCTCCATGGAGGGGAAGGATGTCGATAACCAAATTCCTACCCAATCTGGTCGTAATGAGACGGGGCTCGCCGCTACCTTGGAGGAGGATAGCGGCGCTGAAGCCGACGCCGATGCGGATGAAAGTAGTGCTGCAGAGAACAGCGTGTCACAGTGGGCGACTCGAAAACGCCGGCGGAGAATACAACGCTTTGATGACATTGAAACCGCGCCATCATCCCCCCACAGTCTTATGCGTCCAGGCTTTGCAAGTGCTCCCATGAACTCCGATGCGGAGGCGGACAGGCCTCGTATGCTGATCAGAAGAGCCACGGATACCGATATGATCAACAGTCCCCAGGGTGTCTCTGAGGACGAAGGACGCAAACAACTCATCAATAACAGTGGTTGGACACCTCGTCATCCTCTTCGTGGTTTAAGCTATGGTGGTCAAAGAAAGACAGGTGATACTACACCAGAGGGTCTAAGAAGGCCTCTGACCCTCCTGAATTTTTCCGGCATCACTTCCTCTCGAGAAGCTGGTTCAAGTGAAGCGCAAACTCCTAAAACACCCTCTCGCCGAAAGATGCTGGCCGAGCGAAGTTCAACCTTAAGTGCTGCCAAATGGAGGCAACTCAAGAACAGTTTGAAGACGCTGGGTCAGAGTAGGAAGAAACCCCCAACTCCCGAAGTCCAAAGATCGGCTGCCCTGCTCGCTGAATTGGCTGCCGGAGCTCCTGCGGCCCTGATGCTCGCCAGTATGTTCCAGCGTGACGAGCACAATCATAGGAGAGTGCCAGTGCTTCTGGAACAGCTCAAGGTCCAGGTCACGGACAGCGAAGTCGACCAGCACAAAATTAAGGATGAGAAAGCAATCAGGGAGGATGACGAGGACAAGGTCCTACGGCATCTGATCTTCAAGATCGAATGCGAATATGGTAACGGTGCGAATCGGATGAAATGGGTTATTAAACGATCGCTTGGAGATTTCATTAAATTGCACTTGAGATACAAAGCCGCCTATAACACTGGGAGACTTAGATTAAGAAGCGACGGGCGCAAGAAGATGCCAAAGTTTCCTTTGGAGGTGTTCCCATATCTGAAATCTTTACGATTGTTCGCCGATGAAGGTGATGACGAGGAGGCAGACGCCGGTGATGATACCGAACCAGGCACTGCAACAGACACCGAAAGGCCAACTCCTCGAAGCCAGACTCGACCTGGGATCACAGCAGGACGGCGGAAGTCGAGCGTGGCAGGACTTCACGATCCTATAACTCCCGGGGGCACACGCCGAGAGATTTTTGCCGAGCGCCAACGCAAGACTCTTGAAAAGTATTTGCAACAGATGACACAGTTTATGCTATTTCGCCCGGAGAGCAATCGCTTGTGCAGGTTTTTGGAAATATCGGCTCTTGGCGTGCGTCTCGCTGCTGAGGGTAGTGAGCATGGCAAAGAAGGGCTTTTGCTCATCCGATCGGCTAAAGGGCTCGATTTCAGAGCCTTGAACGCCCTCGAGTTTAAGAAGCGACATACTCCGAAGTGGTTTCTGGTCAGACACAGTTACGTCGTCTGTGTGGATTCGGCGGAGCAAATGCATATATATGATGTGTTTTTGTTCGATTCGGACTTCACGATACAGTCCCGGAGGTTGCGGCCGAGCGATCAGAGAAGCGCTAAGGAACTGGCAGAGGCAGCAAAGGAGTCTGCAAAACATCCACAACACCATCGTCTGAAATTGGTCAACTCGGAAAGAAAGTTGAAACTCATCTCTAACAACGAACGCCAGTTACAACAATTCGAGGAGTCCATAAGAGAAATGGTTGCGGGATCACCCTGGGCCAAGATCAACAGATTCGACAGCTTTGCTCCAATAAGACCGAAATGCTTTGCCCAGTGGCTTGTTGACGGCAGAGACCACATGTGGGTGGTATCTCGCGCCCTGAACCAAGCCAAAGACGTCATTTATATCCATGACTGGTGGTTGAGCCCGGAGCTGTATATGAGGCGCCCTCCTGCTATCAGTCAGAAATGGCGTCTTGATCGACTGCTGAAGAGGAAAGCTGAAGAGGGGGTCAAGATTTTCGTAATTGTCTATCGCAACATCGACGCCGCTATTCCAATAGACTCTCAGTACACCAAATTCTCTCTCTTGGACCTCCACCCGAATATATTTGTCCAGAGATCACCCAACCAGTTTCGACAAAACACCTTCTTCTGGGCGCATCATGAAAAGATATGTATCGTCGACCACACTGTAGCCTTTGTCGGAGGCATTGACTTGTGCTTTGGCAGGTGGGATACTCCTCAACACACACTTGTTGATGACAAGCCCACCGGCTTTGAGCCGAGTGACGAACCCAAGGATGCAGACCATTGCCAACTGTGGCCGGGGAAGGACTACTCTAATCCACGAATACAAGACTTCTATGCGCTTAACAAGCCATACGAAGAGATGTACGACCGATCAAGGGTAGCTAGAATGCCGTGGCATGATATTTCAATGCAGGTTGTCGGGCAACCGGCTCGCGACCTGACTAGACATTTTGTCCAGAGGTGGAACTACATCCTGCGGCAGCGCAAACCAACACGTCCGACGCCGTTCTTACTTCCTCCTCCAGACTTTAATCCGGCTGACTTGGAAGCACTTGGTCTCGATGGAACATGTGAAGTCCAGATTTGTCGCTCCGCCGGGCCTTGGTCATTGGGCACTCCGGACAAGACGGAACACAGCATCATGAACGCCTATATCAAGCTGATCGAAGAGTCCGAGCATTTTGTCTATATTGAAAATCAGTTTTTTATCTCCAGCTGTGAGACGGAAGGCGCAACGGTACACAACAAGATTGGTGATGCGCTTGTCGAACGTATCACCCGTGCCAGCAAGAACGAGGAGGCTTGGAAAGCTGTGATCATCATTCCATTGATTCCTGGTTTCCAGAACACGGTCGAAGAGGAAGGCGGGACGAGCGTGCGATTGATTATGCAATATCAATATCGCAGTATCTGTCGTGGAGAATCATCCATATTTGGTCGACTGAAGGCTGTTGGCGTCGACCCAGAAGAATACATCCAATTCTACAGCCTTCGTCAATGGGGTAGAATTGGCCCACGCAAGACGCTTGTGACCGAACAACTCTACATCCATGCTAAATGTATGGTGGTTGATGACAGGGTTGCATTGATCGGATCCGCGAACATCAATGAACGATCATTGCTGGGAAATCGCGATTCCGAATGTGCGGCTATTGTGCGTGATACAGATATGATCTGGTCAACGATGAATGGCAAACCATATCAGGTTGGCCGGTTCCCGCATACACTCCGCATGCGTTTGATGCGTGAACACCTTGGCCTGGATGTTGACAAAATCATGGAAGACGCACAAGTCATGGAAGCAGAACACAACAAAGCACAGTCCTCAGGAAAGTCAGTCCGATCAGAAACCCCCGAGGGCGGTTTTGGCAGCCCCCTTTCTGAAGTGGATGACGTGCTAAGTCCGCTGCATGGGCAAGATACAGAACTGCATGAAGAATTGCTTCAACGCACTGAGGAGTTTCGAAGCTTCAACCATGACGTGGACTGGGAGCAACAGGGCAACCCCAACCTCAAATCGAAGCGAGCAGGCGTGACCCAAGACCCACGCGTTACCGGCGATCCTCACCACAGGCAAGATGTAGAAGGACACGGATATGACAGGATGGCTGAGATTGCCGCCCAAGGATTTGGGAATGGAAGAGACAGCACGCTTGTCAAAGGAAATAAGGAGGTTCTATTGTCAGACCTCGATTCTGAGGGCAAGGCTGCGTTGCAAGATCCACGAAAACATGGTGAACCGCTCCGGCTGACGTCGTATGTGATCAAGATGGAGACGCCAAACCCTCCGCTGCCTCCGAAGCCGGGTTTGAGACGGATGGATACACTTCAACTGGGCCTACCTATGTTGTCGCAGCTTCCCCCCCTACCCCAAGGAGACGATTCGGACATAGGAGGTCCTACACTCGCCAAAGTTGGTTCCAAGGACTCGATACGCCCACGCCATCCTCTGATTGACGAGCTCCGACGGCCGCTTGTCGATCGGGATTCCATGACCGATCCGATCCATGACGCATTCTTCTACGACACTTGGCATGCGGTGGCAGAGAATAATACCAAAATATACCGCACTGTCTTCCGGTGCATGCCGGATAATCAAGTGCGTAACTGGGATGAATACCATCAGTACGTGGCATATGAACAACGATTCAACCAACTGCAAGGTAATGACCTTCCGAGGGAGGACAAGGTCTCCGATCCTTCTCGAGCTGGCTCTGTCATTAAAAGTGGTCCACCAGGAGCCGGATCTCGACATCCGGCCGCGCAAATTAAAGCTGTGACCCACATTCCCGCCGATATCGAAAAGGCAACCGACGATGTCAAGGAGAAAATAAAAGCGGTCTTTAGCGAAGCGTCCAAAAGCGCTCATGAGGACGCCGAAAAAGAGAAACTTCGGCGTTGGGCTGCGGAGACCAATCAAGCGCAGGCTGAAAGACAAGGGATGCCCACCTTGCATCGGCAGGAAACATTGACCGAAGAAAAGGCCGGGCTACAGACTGTCCACGAAGGACAGGCCATCACCGACGAGGGTAGCGGGACCGGAGAAGACGACGACTTCAGCACCGAGCGACCCATTAGCAATCTCAGCTCCACGGCGGTGGACAGAGAGAAACCAACATCAAACGGCACTCCACCAACCGCAAACGGTGCCTTTGTTGGCTATTCGGAGGCGGTTAACCAGAACACTGCTCAAACCGCGGCCGCGAACGCAAACGTTGGTGGCAGTGGCCGCCGACGCAGAAGAGCTACCACTAGATCTAGTAGACGTGACTTCAGCGCCAGCGATGACATCCTGACCATCGAAGAAGCGGAGGACCTGTTAGGCTGCGTCCAGGGTCATCTTGTCGTCTGGCCTTATGACTGGTGAGTGATTGGCTGCGTCGAGCGCGAGTTGGATATCATTTGTACAAGTGCTGACGGCTGTTTTGGCTTAGGTTGGAGAAAGTAGAGGCCGGAAGCAACTGGTTGTTCCCCTTTGATCAGATCAGCCCGATCGAAATCTAGTGAGTATTTCCACCAAACGTTGCCGCACATGTTCGGCGAAAATGGGAGGCCTCGAACGAAAATACTAACAGTTGATTCTCTAGTATCTAATCACACCTTCTACAAGAGAGAACGCAAACAACCCCCAACACTTACACTTCATTCTCTTGGAGTTCTTCTTTCCTGGCAGGTTATATCATAAGGCGATCGAATCAAGGAGCTCCGCGGAGAAGGGCAAAACGGGATGGTACAAGTTTGTAGAGATCCAGACACTAGCATGAAAGGACAGGGTCATGTTTCAGTGGAAAAGAGAGAGTTTGATGTCCTGCGCTTTGTCTTAACAGTCGTGCTGCGGCCGACAAAAAAAGAGCACACAGGTATTCTTTCATTATCTCATTCTGGCGTTCGGGCATTCAGAGGCAGGGACACGCCCGGATTTTGCTGCGTTGTGGCGAGCAATACTTGAGCCCGGATGATTCTGCATGGTATGTGCTTTGTTTGTGTACGGAGTATAGTTATCCTTCGGCAGAAGCCGGCCTGTCCGTATATGAACTGCGTCGGTTTGACAGTGTTTGTGCCTTTCTCCAACATACGAGTCAGTAAGGAGGCGCGGGGGCTTTGCACCGTGTGTTTCATTTCGACGTTCCGGGTATACGCGTGCCTGACAAGGGGAACGAGCAGGCCTCACCTCCTGGTGTCTTGCTCTCCTTCTCTCGAACAAGCTGAAGACTTTCAGATCCCAACAACATGAAGCGTCGATGCTCGTATATTTAAGGTTGTCAGGACACGACGCTATTGGTGGGCAGTGTTCATGCGCTAGCCGCGAGGCTACGACATCATCCTTTGCTCTTCAGGCTGCCGGCCCAAAGCAGCCCGCAACCGAATCTTGTTCCCTTGAGCGTGATAGCCCGAAGATTGAGGTGCGACGAAGAGAAACCCGAATGTCGACGCTGCCTCTGCACAGACTAGAAATGCGAAAGGCTATCCCAACGTTGGACCAGAACCAAACTGCACAACAGCTGCCCCTGAGGCTGGCCTCTATCACGGTATACAGCATCCCCCTCAAAGTCCCTAGGATTCAGGCAGACCGGCAGTCACTCCACTACTGCTGCTGCCGAACGCCCTGGAACCTATGCAGCTGGCGCAGACCCAGTTCGGTGGACAGAACCTGATACTGCATTGAGCGAGCCATCAATCTGTCGTCTGCAATGCATTGGTTGACGCTTAGTGCGCTTCACGAGGACTGCTTGTGTGGGCAATTGGTAGGAGCAGTCGATCACGAGGCAGCAGTTCCAGACGCAAACACTCGGCCACTTGCCAATCTAAGGATAATGAGCATGCATGATCAGCAGATGCTACCGACAGTTGAGAAACTACCTTTCTCGACCGGACGCATCCCTGGTCGAGGCGTTTGCTTGTAGCATGATTTCCTACTCGTTCGAGTCCCTGACGGGCGAGCCGCGGCAAGCAATTCGGCCTCTTGACCAGGGCTTGCTTGATCCTACTTAAGAAATGCCAGCTGAACACTCATTCGACCCTCATGACCCCTTAATTCCCTGCTTTGACCAACCAACTCAACTGTGCTAGTAGGACCTCCGGACCGGTTATTTTTGACGATCCGTTGTCCTCCCATCTATCGACCACCCTGCGATCGTCGAAGGAAGGAAAAGGCGTGGTCGACGATTGTCCTAGAGTGATCTCTCTTGATCTCCCACGTCGAAGCCGTGCAGGTGAAACCCTGCTAACTAGTCTCAGCAACCACCTGGTCAACCATGTCCGTTATTACCGGGGATCGAGGGGCAGAGGAGCACCCTTCAGCGGAGCCATTCATTGGAATCCTCGTGCTCGTCGCCAAGGCTTCACAAGGACACATGTGGCCCCCCTTGACCAAGTTCGCCTCGTACGAGAGCTCGATCTCTAACAACACCTCGACAGACACACGACAAGAGGGACCCAACGTCAACAACGTGCGCAACGAATAATGCGGCCTGCGGATCAAGATGTACGCATTTTGGCACCTTGTCGAGGAGAACATATGTACCTCTTCGCACGTCGATGGCGTGCGAGACGGGAAGAACGGTAGCAGATCCACTTTGAGGATATCCTCGACGACCATCCACGTTTGCAACGACGCCGATCCAGCGATGCAGAGTCTGACCAGACAAGCGCCCTTGCTTCCATTACAGTTCTCTTATCTTACACGACGACGATGACGACGACGGACCGCCCCAAGTTCGCCCCGTCTTCCTCATGCACGTCTTCTCGGGTCAGGATGACGACGGGATCGACACTCTCTCCAAGCTGGAGCGCATCTTTTGCATCAGCGAGAGAGACAGGGTCTGTCTGTGATGCAGTCAAAGAAGCTCACCATATCGTTGTTGGGGGGAGATCCTCCTATAAGTCCTTTGTATACTAATTTGGGCTCCGTCTCGACACTTCAGAGCATCTCGACTCTATCTTATAGACAGAAACAGGACGAGAACAATAATACTCTGCCCTTCTTGCTTGGGCACAGGTATACAGACAGTACCATATATCGCTTCGGGGCCTTCTACTCGTAGTCTATCACGGCACGAGAAAGGTGGCATAATACAACAATAGTACATTGTCGTCTAGTGCAACATATCTCGAAAATACTTGTTTATACATCTTGTTGTCCCCAGCCTGATTCGGCTTCAGTCGCTTCGCCACTCACACCATAACCGTGGTGGAAGGCATTGCAGCGTTCCGTCTTTGACCGATTCGAACCCTGTCTCTCTTGTATCCATAGAGTCCTCATATTCCGCTCTCCCATCGTAAGATCTTCCAGAGATATCGACAATTCCGACTTTCAGCACCAAATGAAAGTAGCACGATACATAGCAAAAGTGTACATCGCTCGACATCTTCAAAACTCACTTTTCGGCCTCGCGGCCACAAACACGTCTTGCCTGGAAACCTCTATACCCCCTCACCGCAAAAATACATCACGTTTAGTTACAACATGGACTGTCGGCTTACCCCTTGGTGCTCCTGTAGAAGCAGACCAGTCACGCCGCTCTCTCAGTTCTTGCCGATCTGTTGACCTCGGAGCAGGCATGCGGAGCGGCAGGAAATTCGATTCATGTTTGTAGGCAAAGACCAGAGTAATCTTGTAGGTGCCTCTGAACACCAGTGTCTGCCAATGGATTGCCGCCCTTGATTTCAGGTGATGAGATGGCGGCGGGCCTCAGTTTTGTATGAGGAGTTCGCACCGTCTCGGCCTCTGCAAGCCGAACGCAAACCGACCAAGCTCGCCGGAGATTGGAGACAATGATTTCGCCAATCCCAGTTGCCGAGTTAATACAGGTGGTAGACCCTCTTCGCATTGAAGAAAGTCAGCCACTAAAAGCGTCGTTAGGTATTCCCCTTTCACTTAATATTACAACATCAAAATAATGCCATGTAGATGAGCTGCCACCATGTTGTACAAGCGAGAAGTTTCTCAAGGATTTTCATGTCAGTCAACCTCGGCAGCAGAATATTTTCTTCCACCAAGGGACATGGCCGTTGTTGTCATCATCAAAGCCTGACTTCTCAGTCGGTGGTAGGGGATTAGGGATGGATGGCTGCCGATTTGGTTGCATCGAGGCCGGCATCTGGTAAGTCGACACTCCGGCACCACTAACAGTCGGAGTGTGGCCCTTGGAGTTCAAGTGTGGCTGATGGGGTAGGGAGCCGGCACCAGCACCATGTTGTCTTCTCGCCTCAACGACTCTGCGGACGATTACTGGCGGCGTACGTTAGCAGTGGCTGGGGTGGGTGGAAGTGCAGAGTCAGCTTACGGGCAAACGTCTCCTCGATATTGACCATCTCTCGAGCACTTGTCTCCATGAAACCACAGTTTCTGCTCTTGGCCCATTCCCAGCCCACTTTGCTGCTGACAACTCTGGCATCCTTGAGATCGCATTTGTTGCCGGCAACGATCTTGATGGGAGGAAACTTCCATCCATCTTCTCTCCTGCCGCGAACCTTGGCTCCCTTCTCCCGGAGCAACCTGGAGTTCTCTTCAACTCTGTTCTCGGCTTCGATATCGATCATGTCGAGAAACCACTGAAGCCCGTCGAGAGAGGCGGCGTTGGTGATATCATACACGAGGAGAAAGGCATCAGACTGGAGATTGGAAGCAGCCCACAAACTTCGGTACTCTTCCTGACCAGCAGTGTCAGTGAGTGAGAGATAGTAGTTCAAACCGTCCACTGTTCGAGTCACCGAGTACGAGTCCTCGATGGTGGGATCATATCTGTTAAGAGTTAGCGAGCACCCCTTTGCAAAGGGGACAAGGGGAACAACGTACTCGGAAGTCCATTGAGATCTGACGAGGCGCAGAGTAATGGACGATTTGCCTGCGGGGGAGAAACATCAGCCAAACGAACTGCATGCGCCAGCGGCATGGAACAGCCGAGAAACATACCGCAACCTCCATCGCCGCATATGGTGATGGAGATTTTGTCCGCCATGGTGGGATGGTCGACAAGGAGTCTCCCAGACTGGTCCCCCTCTTGAAGCAAAGAACTTTGGAGCTGGTGTGAAGGGTTCTGCCACTGTAGTCGAGGAAGCTGCGATCTTGCAGAGAGACCGAGTGCGAGAGAAGGTGGGAGCGACCTTTATTATGACGAGGCGACAATCTGAGAGATGGGGAACTGCGCACGGACGTGATCTGGAATGGACTCCGAGGATTATTTGCGTCTCGGCCCTCACGATTTGGATCTGCACTGGAGGACTTGCTTGAATCGAATTGAAAGGGGCAGTGCGCCGACGCAGACACGACCAGATGGTCAGGAGGTCGAGAAAGGATTCGCAAGCGTTATCGCAAGCAGTCGGGACGAGAAAGTCAAGAGACTTGCAATAGTCGGAACTGAAGTGGGATGCAATTTAATGCTGGGCCGGAGAAGTCGAGGAATGCAGGCAGGTTGCTACTGGTAGTGGGATGAGTGGGCGCAAAGGTGCAGGAGGCAGATGCGAGGATGGACCGTGGGATGCGGGATATTGACGGATTGACCGACGAGGCTGATGACCAAGGTCGCCTGGATGATATAGGAGGCGCTGGGTATTGGGTATTGTGTATATCGGAAGTGACAAGAGGTCTTGGATGCGTGATTGAGGAGAGGGGGAAGTGAGAGGATAGAAATGTGTGGTTGGAAATGTCGAAGCAGGAAGTGTGAGAGACGAGGTTCGGGAAGGCTGGATTTGCGACCAGGGGGGTGCACACTGGCACCCACACACCCACTTTCCGTACTTGTACTTTGTACTTGTCCCTAGTCCTCCTCTTCACCAGGATCCTGCTCAGGGCATTGGATGTTGGCGTCGAGATGTGGGACGCGGCTTTCCAAAGGCAGTCAGTTGGGTATCGGAACGAGGGTGATCAGGCATCGACTCAGTCAACATGATGGAGTGATGGTCTGTCTATCACGATTGGCAGCGTCAGCATCAATGAGGCGGCTTGAACAGGACAGAAGTCAAGCGAGATGGTAGAGTTACATGGGGGAAAAAACGCGCAGGCTCTTCCGGCTCCCTGCGCACAAAAAGGGACCAAAAGGGATCAGAGGTAAAGGGACCAAGCTTGCCGGGGAAGCAGGGGAAGAGAAGGAGAGCGATGATTGAAACACCGACTGGACGGAACAGCCTGGTGAGCCGTTACGGAAGAGGCCAAAGGGTGTGCGGGGCCAGGGTCCAGGGCCAATGGGCCGGGGAATAGGCAAGCCTAGCAACTAGCCTAGGGGAGGTGACCGCCCCTCGGTGCCCCACCACCAACCGCCAGTGGGTGACCAAAAGCACCAGAACTTAACTAAGAAGTCCACTAGAGCCCCTCGACACCCCTACCAACACTCAGGCTACTGTACTGTACCTACCGAGATACCCAGTACCTAGAAAAGGCCCAGGGAGCAAGGCAGCCAGTTGGGCAGCAAAGGTGCCGAGAACGATTGTCACCACTGTCGATCATTGTTTGTTCCTCTACCCGACCATCACCATCCTCCCTGTGTCCGCTCGTCATCACCATCACTCACCTTCTCCAGCCATTGTAACTACGAGGGAATGTTTCGCCACCTTGGCCCACCAGCCACAGATGCTCCCTCCAATTATTTCCTTCTCGGTGTCATCCGCCCGTCCCTCCCTCCCTCTCAGCCCCCCCCTCAGCCTTGTGCGTATTCTGGCGGATCAGGCCTCTCGTGCCGCTGAGGCCCCCAATGCGGCCGCACTGGTCTGGACAAATATAGCCTTCCCCAGACTCTTGCCATCGCTGTTGTCCAGCGCTTACAAATTTTCATCCTCAGTCCGCCTTCTGGACGATTCTTGCGTTCTATGAAACAAAGGGCGGAGGATTTGGACATGCGCACTCCGTTAAGGCCCAGCGTGACTCGGTATGACTTTGGCGCGTCGGTGGTTTCCCCTGCATTCGAGCACCGCCCGTCAGAGCTATGTACTCCGTATTTCGCCCCCATCGCTGCCAAAATGCGCCTACTTGAAAGACTCGCCGTCCTGTGGCTGATGTTGTTAGTCAATCCGCTCTTCGCAGCTGCCTACGTATCTGGACGCTAGAGATTGTGCTATTTGCAGGATTCAGGACTCATGCCCGTCGATATATACCGTCAGCTATGGCGTCGATTTACTGCTGGCCCTGCCGAAAGCAGCACCGACCCTCTTTGCGACCGGTCTAGCAACGTGGATATGGAAGAACTCTCCAGCAGTCAATCTAGCACTCAGAATCGAGTGGCATCTCATTCAACATCCTCGAAGGGTTCCCCCCCCCGGCCGTCATGGTGGACGCGGATGAGTTTAGACAGTTGGGCATGGGAATTGTCAGCAGCCCTGCTATGTATCTGCATTCTCTCTGCAATTGCCGCCATCCTGTTTGTATATGACAACCGCCCTGTTCCAGATCTACCAGATGGTTTGACGGTGAGTCGTCCGCGTTGGGCGTCGGCCTGAGTTTCCGCTGTTCTAATGTCAGTTTTAGATCAACGCAATAGTGTCTCTTCTTGCGGGCTTTGCAAAGGCGGCTCTGCTGGCAGTATTGGCGTCCGCTATACGTCAAGAGAAGTGGCTTTGGTTCATTGGAAAACCACGACCACTCAACACCGTCGACGCGTTCGAAGAGGCCAGCCGCGGCCCCTACGGTTCAGTTCTACTCATCCTGAGTCGCCGAGGCAGTCTTCGAGCTCTGCTCGCCGCATCGGTTACCGTCCTGGCTCTGGGCTTTGAACCTTTTCTTCAACAAGTTCTGAACACGGTAGTTCGCGACACCACTGTTCCCTCCCAACCTGCCTCGATCCGTACTCCGACTTCATACAATGAATCAGTGATTGGAAATCTGGGTGGCTCGGGCCTGTCATTGAACGCTTTGATCGGAGCATTTGGTGGGGCAGCAGGGGCAATCCCAAATCCCATTTGCCCCAGTGGAAATTGCACATGGCCGGCGTACAACACTCTTGCAATGTGCACCATGTGTAAAGACATGACGGACACGGTCAAAATCGGCGGAGACGTCTACAAGATCAACTTGACCTCCCACTTTGAACAGTTCTCTCAAAGCAATCAAACGTCGTCCTCCACCACTTGGACGCCAACCTATTCGTTCCCACACGGCAATGCCGTTGATGTCTCCGTATCCCTTGACCTGTCGTTGGCGAGCGGCGTGCAGTGGTTCGTGAGCTATCCTCGCCGCGTGGTGTGGCCGCTGAATATCGACCCTGCGCCCGACAGTCACTGGGGCAAGAGCTGGGACAACAAGTCATACGCTGGAATCGCTTCTCCTCTATTTGCCATGGGCTACCTGGACATCAACACAACCTCCTCTTTCGACCAGCTGGTAGTCCAAGGTGCCACGGAATGTGCTTTTACACCGTGTGTGCGGACAATGGACACGGCCGTTCGCTCTGGCACGACCATCTCCCACGCAACAGCCACAGACTACGGCACCATCATCATCAATCAGAATCAACCCGATGGTCGCATTCTGACAGGTTGGAATGCGGAAGTGAACGGCACCAATTATTTCGCATATGACGCCGGCAATGACGATGCTCAGGGTCGAGCATTCTTACTTATCCAAGCCCTCCGGATCGCCCTCGAGGGAAATACGACTTACAGTTACGGAGGTTACTGGTACTCAGACCCCGCTCAGCAAGGAGACATCTTCAATTTCTCCTCGACTAGCTTTAGCCAAGTCTCTGGGCCTTGGAGCTCGGCGGGTCAGCAGGCAATCGATGGAAACGGGAATTTTAGCGACATCGTTGACGGCGTCGGGCGAGCACTGACAGGTCGGTTCCAGCAGCTGCAAGACAGCGTCGCCGCTGGCACGACTCTCCACAGCGAGGCGGTGATCATTGTACGCTGGCAATGGATCAGTTACCCGCTGGCCCTCGTCGTGCTCGGGCTGGCAGGTCTCGTCCTGACGATTATTTCCACGCATCGCAACCGCATGGCGGTGTGGAAGGAGTCGACACTCCCTCTCCTCTTCCGCCATATCGCACCGGCGGTCGAACTACGACAAACCCACAGCACTCCTCCCAGCGGGCTGGACCGGCCTAGCAAGACCTTCTCATTTTCAAACACTATCTCCGGCCCCCCCGATTCGAACAAGGTCAGTTCGATCGTGACACAGGCCTCGGAAGAGCAAGTGCAGCTGCGTCGTCGCGACTCGTTCTGGGTTCTGGACTCGGATCCCAGGAGCGATAGCAGTTGCAAGGGACATTTGGCGCAACAGCAGGTATAACATCAAGCATGATAGAGACGGTGGTAAGAGATCGCGAGCAGCCTTCTGACCCATTTCATTTCATTTCATTTGTTTTTCCCAACTTGTTTTCTTCCATTATCTAGGGCTCTGTTTCTGTGACTGTGACCGTTTATTCATTTCGCCTTTGCTCTCTCTCTCTCTCTCTCTCTCTCGCTCTCTCTCTCTCTCTCGCTCTCTCTCTCTCTC